AATAGCCTTAAGACAATGCTGACACTTTCAGTTCAAGCACCTTTACTGTGATGATTAGCTATACAGTATGTGAAAAAAGTTCACGCTTTTCACATGTTCCAATAATAAATGTTGTGCTCAAATCATTCAAAAATTACTGAAAGTAGAAACTGTACACATGGCTGTTTTGTGGAACTCATAGTGACTTAAGCAATGAGCCAAGTTTGTGAGCATATGACAATTTTAAATTTATTACTAAATTTTAAATGTTTGTACTGAACATTAGACTGAACATCTGTTGTTCTCATGGCAGTTTAGGACACTGAGCTTAGCTTTGCAATATTTTATACTGCTTATGGCCTTAATTTTTTTTAAGTTACTCAGGTTATCTGGGTTCTCCTCTCAGGGCTGCCACAGCCTTTGTCTGTGACCTTGGACAAGTTATTTAACCTTTCAATGCCTCAGTTTCCTTCTCTGACATAGCTATTGTGCGACAATTCATTAATGTTTTGTAAGTCCTTTGCTATCCTGAAGTGGAAAGTACTATGTAAAAATACAGTATTACTATATCCAGAAGCCACTAATAACTACACCTCAAAGCTGAATCTGATCTGAAATTCTCAATAGCTTCTTCATCATCTTATCCCATCAATCGGGATCAATAGTCTTGTTTTTCTTCTCCAAGTGTTCTTGTCAAGTGTGTCTTCCATGCTGACACCAACCTTGTCCATGTACTCAGCATCTCAAACCACCTTTTTCTAGGTTGTCCTTGTGGTCCTTGTCCCATGACAACTCTTGTATTCTCTGGCCCAACATATCCCACATCTTGTCATCTCACATGACCCAACCATCTCAGTTGATACTGCCTCAGGTTTTCCGTGATGAGTGTTACCTGCATCATGGCACTTACTGTCTCATTGCATAGTCTATTAACTCTCATCTGACTCAGAATGCCACTGAGCACTGTCATTTCAGTAGTATGAAATAGTTGTTCTTCTCTCTTCCTCCGTGGCCAGCATTCTGACCAATACGTCATGGAAGGGTCTAATCAAGATATTTATCACTTGGCTGAAATTCTCAATATCACGTGAGAAAATAATGCAGATGTATTATTTAAAATTTCTGAGCAACTCATAACTACAAGATGGAGGAATAATGAGAACACTTCACACAAATAGTCCCTGTTTTCTATCGGAAAGGTATTCAATGCTATCAAGTTCAGCAGAACTGTTGGTCAGAAAGCCCTGCTCTATACCCAAATATGTACCAGTTTAATTAAAGGTGTGTTTAAAGGGTAAACCAGTTTAGTTAAAGCAGGGCAAATGCCTGTGAGGACACTCTTAAACTGATATTTAAAATATGTATAATGATTTAGCTTAATTTGGTAAGCGGTCTTCAGACAGAAGGCACGCTGCCTCAACTAAATTGGTTACTAATCAATTTAATTACATGGGTCCAAAACCTTTATCAGAACCCTCCTATTAATTTGATAATGTTTAAAATCCTCAGAAAGCTAAATTGATTTTACACAAACCTGTTCATAAATGTCCACACAAGAAGACCACCAATTTGATTTAGAAACTAATTTAATTAAATCAATGTGTTTTCTGAGTAGACCCATCTCAAGGAACTGACTAACTAAATTAATATAAGTTATTTTTTAAAATGATTTAAGATCATCTACACAGAGGCTTGCTCAGTTTTAATTAAATTGGATTTAAATAGATTTTAGTTAAACCAGTGCTAGTTTGTAGGTAGACAAGGCCAAAGTTATTATACTGAACTAGTACTATAGATAATGTAGCTAGCAACACCTCTAGTTATAGTTTGTCTGACACTCTGCATTATAAGACCCTATTTTCAGTCACTAATACTCACTTTGAAGATTTAAACAATTTGGGCTGAAATTTTCCAAGGCAGGTGTCTGCCTCAGGTGTTTTGGATACCTTCAGCTAAAACGGTTGAGCCATTTCCAAGAATTAAGCCAGGGAGAAAAACATTGTTATGGCCATGTAAATACAACATTTACAATCATTTTATTCTACTAGATTCTTTGGAACAGGGACTTTCAGTTTAGCAGGGGTATTGTTCAGTGTCAGGGACATGCCTTTTGCTGTATCCATCAAAATTCGCCGTTTGGCCATTATAAGTCTGGGGGAGAGGGGGATGGGCCTTAGTTTGAACATGCTCAGTAGAGATTTGTTAGAATTCTCTGATGATTCTGTTCATACTCAGCAAGCCCCATATCCCAGAGATGCAAGGGCTGAGCTCCATTTTCACTGCAATTGCTCCTCCTACCATCTGGGAGCCACTGTGGCACTGAGAACTGGAACGAACAGCAGGGAGACTCTCTCTCCAGTGCTCTCAATGGTCCCCCTACAGGCACACTGGCAGTGAGGAGGTGGCAATCTTACTTGAATGCAGGTGGGAGAACATCAGGGAAGGGAAGAGATGCAGCAGGGGAAACAGGGGTAAGAGCTTGCAGGGAGGAAGGATAGAAGCCTGTGGGAAAAAGAGAGATGGGGGACAAGGGCAGGAACTGAAGGAGGTAGAAGAACAGAAACAGAACGTAGGCAGAACCAGAGGTAGGGGATAGAGGAAGAAGCTTGGTGGTGACATGAGAGGAGACAGGAGCAGGAGCTAAGGAGCATGGTGGGCAGTAGCTGTGGATGGGGGAGGCAATGAGCTGGGTGGTATTGGGTGGGAGTTGAGGGAGAATAGTAGCAGAAGAGAACAGAGCGAGGCTGGGGATTGGGGAAGAAGGTTCTGTGGTCACTAGAAGATACTTCCCTGCAGAACTTGGAACTGAATCGATTATTCCAGCAAAAAGAACAGAAGTACTTGTGGCACCTTAGAGACTAACAAATTTATTTGAGCATAAGCTTTCATGGGCTACTGCCCACTTCATCGGATGCATGTAGTGGAAAATATAGTAGGAAGATATAGATATATATATACACACACAGAGAACATGAAACAATGGGTGTTACCATACACACTATTAGGAGAGTGATCAGTTAAGGTGAGCTTTTATCAGCAGGAGAGAAAAAGAACTGTTTGTAGTGGTAATGAAAATGGTAATTGACAAGGAGATATGAGGAACTGTAGGGGAGGGGGGGAAAAAAGCATGGGGAAATAGTTTTACTTTGTGTAATGGCCCATCCACTCCCAGTCTTTGTTCAAGCATAATTTAATGGTGTTCAATTTGCAAATTAATTCCAATTCAGCAGTCTCTCATTGGAGTCTGTTTTTGAAGTTTTGTTGTTGTAATATTGCAACTTTTAGGTCTGTAATCGAGTGGCCAGGGAGATTGAAGTGTTCTCCAACTGGTTTTTGAATGTTATAATTCTTGACGTCTGATTTGTGTCCATTTATTATTTTACATAGAGACTGTCCGGTTTGGCCAATGTACATGGCAGAGGGGCATGGCTAGCACATGATGGCATATATCACATTGGTAGATGTGCAGGTGAATGAG